CAGGAATATGGTTTTAAATCGCCTCCTTCTGACCAACAGCACTCTTACACTACTCTAGATTCACTATTCTTCTTGCTCTTTCCTTAAGATATGTGCTTCTTCATATATATATTTTCTTCCCTTTTACACACCGATTACTCATCAGGAAAAATGCAAAAGACTAAATTACTTGTCATTCAAGATGAACTATTCTTGTTAATTAGTTAAAGGGAGCTGCTCCATTGTTAATGTATGAAAATGGCCAGCAGAAAACTGAAGTCAGTATTGTATTTTATCAATTTGGTACCCATACTGATGCCTAGCTGATGTATGTCACCTAAGAAAAAGATAGAATTTTTAAAACTAAAACCTCTGTTTTGACTTTCAACAAAACAGTAAGCCAAAACTGAATGGCTGCTTTGTTCAATGTAGCAATCACACAACACTCTTCACAACCCCCGCCAATTCAAGTGCTGGAGAAACAGCAGGATTAAAGACAACAGCATTTTACAAACTCCACTCAATGCCTGCACCCCAACTTGATTTGGTTGACTTATACAGGCAAATAGATCTAACAAAGTTGTAAAATCTGTAATAGTAAAACTAATTAAACAAGCTGATAACATAACAAAATAAACAAAGTCTTTCTGTTCTAGTAACAGATAAAGTGCCTACCCCAGGTACTCTACTCACGTGTTGGAAACTGAGGTAAACATGGGTTGCCATCATCTTGTTTGAGCTGGATTCGTACTCTACCTCTGTACTGCACGTCTCTGTTCCACTCTCTAGGATACATCTTATTTTTCTGTCATACAAAAGAAGAAACTTAAGTACTGGAATAATTTTCTGCAAAATTTTGTCAGGCAATCAATCTAAGTCATAGCAGCCTCAAATTCTTCTGAACAGATGCAAAGCATAACCGTAGCTCTCCAACAGTGTCACCCACCCTTCAGCCATTGCAGTAATATCCAGAGCTATGGCATAACTGTTTCAGAAGCACTGCTGCAACCAACTACTGGTACTGAACAATTTAGTGAGTAGCCTGCTACAGGGACTCTTCTACTTCCCCACCAGTCTGGACACAGCCACAAACCCTTCTGGACACCTAGAGACAGTACGTCAGTAGGTCACAGTCTGAGGCCCACTGCTTTTGGATACTCATAGCCTTCATTTTTGTTAAAATCTTACAGGTTTCTTACTGGTACTGGCTATTTCACAGGCTGGTGTGCACTAACAGGAATATATTCAACTTCTTCTGAAAAGCAAAGTGATACTGTACTGTTTTTTGGATACATTCTTAGATGAGGACCTAAATTCTTTAGTAAAGAAGGGATAAAAATTCAACAGTATTTTAAATTAATAATTACTTCAGAAAATGAATTGCAAAAAGTTACCTCTCTAGAAACTCAGACTCATTACCTTACAAAAAAGTAACCAGCTTAAACTATTTAAAGACCAAGCAGGTATTGCAATAAAAAATTAACATTCTCTGGCTAAAACATAACTCCAAAGGACCCTGAAGATTTCAAGCATCAGAATCCTATTCCTACAGGACAGTCATTCCAAAAGATAATCACCTGTCATTAAAAATAGGCTTTTTTAAAAACTTAATTTGCAGAGTTGCAGCTTGCAAAATTAGCTTTTATTCTGACACACTTTTAAGCATCTAGGATAGTCTTCTCAGAAGGAACTTAAATAAAAGTAATCTTTTTATAAGCTTAAAAAGTGGCATCGTCTCAAAGATCCGGGTCATTTCTGCTTTGCATACAGTTTTCCAACATTTACTTCATCATTTTTGTCAGTTATTACTCAAAGCAAGCTGATAGCAAAAACTTCTCAATTGTAATTTATCCTGTTTGTAAGAAAAGATATAATGAAAGAAGAACAGAGACACATACCAAGTTTGTGGGGGTTTTTTGCGGTTTTTTTTTGGTTTGTGTTTTGTTTTTTAAATTACCTCTAATAGCACGTTGAATCCAACTGCTGCACATACATCTTGGATTTCTGTAGACGTGGGATTTTCAACAGCCTGTTGAAACAATGTGTTACCGTTAATTATTTTTCAATAATGAACTACCTATATAGCAATAGTAAGCAGTTTCCCACCCTATACTCTATAACTAGAAAAAGCAGATGGGGAAAGAGAAGGTACTTCAAATAATGACAAATCTACTGTAGAAGTCATCTGTGAGCGCTCCTCCAGTCTAGAAAACATTTTTAAAAAAAAAAGAGGTAAGACATCAGTAAAACAGAAAACAGATGAGACAGAATTAATTAGGATGAGAGCATGTAGAAGAATTGCTTAGGAAAAATAATTGAAATGCAATAACATTTATTATATTTACAAAAAAACCCAAAAGCCAGGAATCGGAAACTGCAAACTTATAGCAAGGACTGAAGGAGAAAGGAATAGAAACTTTCTAGGAGCAGGGCAGCAGATTCCTCCTATAGATACATATTTGATTGGCAACTTGCATGCTCAAGAAAGATTTTAACTATTATCAGAAAAAAACTCCAACCCTAAGCAGTGAGAAAAGCCCCTTATACTCCCAGCGCTGCTTGTTAAAAATATTATAAAGGATTAAGATGATAAAACACTACTTCTGGACAGATTAAAAGCAACAACAACTACCAAGTCTACGTGCCACATGCATTGTAAGTTCTATCTTCGACAGCAGCAAAAGGGACAGGGCACAGAATATAGGCATACATAGTCAGTCACCAAGCAAACATCATTAGCTAGCTATTCTTTTCTGCATCGCTTTCAAATTTGGCAAACAACTTATGTAGGAGGTTGAGTGCATTAAGTTCCTCATTACTTCACCTGCTTGCCTAAAGTGCTGTTCACACGAAAGCAGACACTTAAACCCAGTGCTCTTCTACCAAATTCACATGCTAACAGTAGGTTATCTTCAAATACACTGTAATTTCCAGTTATCGAGCTACTTGCCATGGGGGATAGGAAAGATCAACAGCTTTGAGATTTGTTTTCCAGCATAGCAAAACAAAACATCATATTTCCCTGCCACCCACAAAATTACTTTGTCTATCGGAATCCTTCTTCCTTCTGCTATTGTCTTCTTGTTATTTAAATATGCTGGATAAATGCAGATGAATCTAAAAAGAGAAAACAGTGAGTTTAAGTAAGTAATATCAATTCCTTAATTGTTTATGCAATATTTTCCTAGTAAAACAAAAAATAAATCTCATGACTACAGTTCCCACAGCAGCTTTGGACAACCACTTATTTTCCTTAGACTAATTAGTAAGATGTTGCAAAACCCCATTTTGAGTTATCCAGGACACTGCATGACCATTTGGCTGAAATGTTCCTTGCATGACACCACTTTTTGGGGCACAGCGTGAATAAAGCACGGCGCTATTTATCTTGAGGAAAAAAAAAGAAGGTTGAAAGAGAATGTTTTGACCCATTTCTTAAACCCTAGAAAGAAACCTAGAAGAAAACATACACATTTCCCTGAAAAGAATTAAAGACGGTTTCCTGAAAAGGTTGTAGTATGCTAATTGCTGACTAAGTTCTTGACAGAAGCAAGAAGCAAGGTTTTTTTTGCTACGGATTTGCCTTTTTTTTTTCCTATTCACACACAGAACAACCCAGATTTGGGTAAGCTATAAAGCCTCTGAAAAACTATGCTTATGAACTTGCTTAGGATTTTTCATTAGATTTAAACCTGTCAAGCACATACAGGGGACAAGAGTGACAGGATTATACTTCTTATTAGACAATAAAAAAAGCAACTAGCTGAGGCCTACAAGGAGATGCTGAAGACTGTCTACATCTGAATGAGGCGCTGTGACGGCATAAGAAAATAGGAAAGCAGAAAGTGAGCAAATAATCTGGAGCAGACTACTGTTCAGTTACATGGAGACTGGCAAGGATCACTGATCCTTACTGGCTCCCAGAAAACACTTCTTCCTGCCTCTAAAACTAGCCTCAGCCATCTTAGCTCTTATTACTGTTCTCCTCCTAAATACCTTTTCACTGATATTTCCCCCTATTAGCTACCGTTCTCTTTACGAGCCAACCAGTACTCCTGCGTAAGCGGCAGAGTTCTGCACAGGAACTTTTCAGTCTCGTTACCGACGTTCATCATCATCAACATACTACACTGACCACCACCATCCCTTGCTCAGTTTACCTTTTCTGAGCTTTAAATGATGACAAGATAGTACAGCATCAAGCACTCCAGAACCAGAACCTGCCAAATCTCAGCCTCCCACTTGAACATATGCATTGTAATAGCCTTCCCTGGCACCTCACAAACCTCCGCTGCCGTGAATCACGGAGGCAGGCGACAGGCTGGTTCCTCGCCTTGCTGCGCTGCATGCGGACTGCAAACCTGACCGCTGCCTCTGGGAACCGACCCCAATTCACGGCTGCAAGGACTGCTCGGGAGAAACCCAGCGTGCCAGCTGCATCAAACTCAGTGTGCGGCCATGTTATATGACGTGTAATTGTGATATTACCGCACACACTTGGCAACGTTATTATAGCTGCAGGCATGACCCACCTCCCGC